CCCCAAAACCCCAAAACCCCAAAACCCCAAAACCCCAAAACCCCGTGGTACGCAATCATTTGAGAGGAATATATAATTTGGTAGATAGGCACAGATTGATTAAAATAATTAATATAAATATACGAGGCTATTGGGAAAATGATAGGGTAGCAAATTTCTGATGACCAAATTAACGAGTACTTTGATATAATATTCGGGACATACTTCAAGGACAACCATTCAAATCAAATTGATAAAAAGACATTTTCTGAAGGTATCTTTATTTTATTCTAAGAATCATAATAGCCTTGAAATCACAAGATCAAACCTGTGAAGATGAAAAGATAGAATACCTTTTTAGTATGGCGGATCAAGATTAAGTAAATAATTATAGAAGTCTAACTCATAATAGGACGGTTTAGTTACAGAGTCAGAGGTCCGCATGGTCATTAAAAAGGATATTGAAACCTTGCAAATAATTGAGGATGTAGACTCAATGGATGACTGTGAGATAAATGGTGTGGTGGAGGTTCAGAATGATGAGATCTACGACTACGAGAGTTTCGAAACTTTCAAAGATGCGATCTATACCATATTCGACACATATGCAGAAGGTTATCATGGATAAAAATGTCTTGATCTATTATAACTCAACAAGATGGTGAATCCAGATGTTGTGCCTCATGCTCAAAGACTAGACTGGCTTATAAATGATCTCTAATTTGAGAGTTAAGTAGGTATGCACAAATTAACTATTGAAGATCTTGAGAGACTTCTTACGCAGTATGATGAATTCTTGAAGGCACATTACAAGTAACAAAGCTAAAAGAAGTCTGTGAGAAAACTCATAGAAAATCTGCAAGAATTTAACAAGAATAATGACTCTCCACTTGAGCTTTTAAAGGATCTGTTCATGTATCTTATATAGAAGCAAAAATTCAAAAAGTATGAATCAGATGACTGGTTCTAATTGGTGAATGCCATCCACTAGTTCCTTGTCAACATTGAATCTGAGACCACTTCAGATACGATCAGACTTGACAAAAAAGAGAGCTCAGACTACACCCTCTCCTATATCGAAAATGAGCTACGTAGTTACAAGGACCAAAATAAAACTTTATTTGAGATGATTGATTCTCATAAAAGTGAAGTGAATCTTTATTTAGTAGAAAAATAAAAGCTTAAAGATGAAGTCTTTAGATGCAAGTCTACAATCAGTCAACAGCAAGAAGAAATTGAGTAGCTAAAAAAGCTAAAAGCTGATTATGAGGATAAGTTCTAAATGTAGGACGAAGAACTATTAAACCTCTAAGAAGAAAATGATGAAATAAATAAACAACTGGAAGGTGGTGAACCAGGAATGAATAAAACTTCGAAGAGATTCTAGAATAAATAAGAAAATAAGGCAAACCAAAAATTGAAGTTTAGACACAGTGTTATGGACGGTAGCATCAGATCATTTGTCTCAGGTCTAGAAACCACCGCTAATAATGAGCAAGGATACAAACAGGAATTAGATAGACTGGTAGAGGAGAGAGACAAGTACAAAAAGCTATACGAAAAGATGGAAAAAGAGGTTAATTCATTATAGGATGAACTTGAAGAACTTCACTTAAGACATTCAGCAGAACTTAAAGCTGTAAAAAGCAACCTTGAAGTAAAATACATCCATGTTTAATAAAGCTTCATTTCTAGTTCAGAAAATCATAGATTGACATGAAACAGAATGAAATTGATCAAAAAAGGCAAGAGATGATTGTCATGAACAAAACAGTATAGGATTAACAATCCTAAATCAATAATTTATAATAAAGTGTCTAAGCTCTTAAATCAGTATTCTTCAATTTCTGTTATATAAATATTTAGGCAAACTTGATATTAGAGCAAAGAGTCGCAGCTGACAGATATGAAACCTAGAGTTATAGAAGTAAAATATAAAGAGTAGGTGGGCTTGATGACTTCCACAGTTAAATGGGAAGTAGCATGTTTACTCCAAGACCAAGAGGTCCAGGTAGCAAACATTCTGGTGGAACTAATATTCACCGTCGAGGGGATGGTTCAATGGGTTCTAGATATTCTAATAATTCTACCAGTGTTATAATGAGAGTAATTGGAAATAGAAGCATTGCATCTCAAAGTAATAGAAGTTTCATCTCAGGATCATCTATGGGCAGCACAATTCTTGGATAGAGGAGGAGACGTCAGGGTCTTGGTATGGGAAAAAATAGACACAGAGGCAATTAAAGTTATAGCGGTAGTGTCAGATCAGGCAAATCCGGCAGATCTCGCCGCTCAGGAGTTTAGATTGTTGACGGAGAATCTGAAATGGATGACGACAACATTTCAATGGGCTCCAACTCAATGGTAAATATAATAGATAACAATGACCCACTTACTAAAAAAATCTTCTAAAACAACCGCATTTCAGAGGTGCAGGAGATAGAAGAAGAAAAATATGAAGGGGATTCAAATATAGATGATTCTTACATTGATTCAAACTCAAACTAAATCATCATTAATTTTGACACCATTTTTGAGTAAGTTAAGAAAACAGAACCCGACTTTGAGGATAAGAATGATATGGTGGCAATGTATAAGAATAACGTTTCCTTCATCAATTTTACATCAGCTGAAGTAATTATTTTAGAGGCATACTTAATTCTAACAAAGAAATATCTCTATCTCTATGATTTAAGTAAAGAGGATTATCCATTATTATTCACAAAGCCAATTAAAATTGAGGAAATACAGGCAATACAGATGACTTTAAATAATACAGTTGCAGGAGTATTCAAAATAAAGAACAGAGCTGATGTTAAATTCGTAGTATTTGAAGATGATAATTTGGAGTAGTTCGTTATCTTTGTCAGGAGTGCCTTTGGAGTTAGAGTTGGAGTAGAGTATCAAGACTAAGTATTCTTTAAGAATGAAAAAAATGAAGAAAAAGCATTTAACTTAATAGATATGAAATACTTTGATCCTAAAGATCTTAAGGTCCGCTTCAATAAACCCCAATTTTATGGATTCCTAGAAAAAATATCATGTAACTGGAGATCTAAAGTCTCGAGCTTATTTGGAGGTGGAAATAAGTGGATCAAAAAGATGTATACAATTAAAAACGGTACGATGTATGTGTACGAGTTAAATAACTATGACAAACCTTCCAAAGTATTTTAGGTGTTTACTATGGGAGTTATCCCGATTAAAAGCAAGGAATATAACAAAAACCATGTGTTCAAACTGCTGTGCGGTGATGATGAGGAAAGAGTATTCGCTGCTCCTGACGATAGTGAGCGTGACCAATGGGTTACCTGTATTTAGGATGCAATTGATGATTATAAAGAAAAGAATGCTAGACGCTGATTAAAACAATTCAAGGGTCATTAACTTAGAAACTATTAAGATTAAGTATAAATTTAGTAACTAGTCTAATTTCCATATTTTTCCTATATTAAATCTAGAATGCTATTACTTTATTTTAGTTTCACGGGGTTTTGGGGTTTTGGGGTTTTGGGG